AGGTTGATCATATTTAAGATCGAAGAATTAATTAATGGCAGGACTTCTTTGAGCAGTTTTGTAGGAATGGGGTCTAAAAGACACGATGGTTTGGAGAGTGTTTTCACATGGACAGGTGTACAAACAGATACTCACAGACACGCACTATAAAGCAGATTCTTAGTGTTTCTTCTCTCTCTCTCCCTTTCTCTATCCCTCTCCTTCTCCTCTATTTTTCTCTCCCTCTCCTTTTGTTGACTGGCCTGCAGGATTCCCCAACCTTATAAACAGTATTTTGGCATACTGACCGAAACTAGCACCATTGATCAACTGATTGACAATGAGCTATGAGATCAGTTTTAAGATCAGCTGTCGTGAGTACCATTCACAGAGTGTTGGGGAATGGCTACAGTCACAGCATTATAAGATAGTGAAAGCTGTACCCTGGGCCTCCTCCTCCTATTTCATAGGAATGAAACAAAAATCATGTCAGGGGTAACCAAATTGTTGTGTTCAGAATTTTTGGAAGGAATCTCAGGAGAAAGGTTTGTCTTTTAAAAAAAGAATTTACTTTGCTTTTGGCAGTTGAAATTACAAGTTTACACGGCACTGTGGACCTCTATGTGAACCAGCAGCATGTTTTACAAAAAGGATGACCCTCAAGTGAGCTGTACAACATTGTGTAGTGAGACAAAAACAGATTATAGCAGCTATCTTCTTTCCGCACGGAGATGGCAGTCTTGGTTTCTGCTCCAAATCATCCTCGTATTTCCGTGACCCCATCTGGTATCTGCTCCCTCGTCTGTAAGAGACAGAAAAGCAAAACACCTCTCTGCCTGGCCTTGTTAATCTAATGTTAATATCCATTGTTCTTCTAGCGATTCAAAGTTGGTTTAGAATATCATGTTTGGGACTCTCTGACCCAGAGTCTTATTCTAATCATAATCTATGTGTGTAAGAATATTTGCATTTACCTCTCCGCACTGTAAGTAATTTCCTACAATATATCAATCTGGAACGTCACGCCGTATGAAGATTTTGACCTTCAAAAGACTGACTGACAACTCCTTATGAACACATTTAGAAATTCA